ATTTGCGTTCTTTCCGTGTCGCGCAACCGTATATTGAAAGAGTATGTGCTGAATAAATCATCATGGATCAAAATTTACGCCGAAATAATAAACGGGTGAACAGACGACATGCCGAGAAACTCCATTTAGCCGGAAATAACTTATAATATGAATGTTTCTCGTGAGAGAGCGAAGGGAGGAGGAGGGAAGGACGGCCGAGAATCGCTGCCCGTGTCGCGAGAAATAAACGAAATATTTATATAAATAGCAGAAATATTTGATAGCGAGTACGAGAATAGGACTGACACTATCGATTAGTGGCGGGAAGGAAAATTGAAATCAGAAATTGAGCCACAATATTGATTTTTGTTACTGCTCCTTTTCATCCATCTTTCAAGTAATTTTATGCGGAACAAAATTCAAATTGAGTCAACGAGAAGTAGGTAAAATATTCTTGTAAGTATTATATGAGACACACGTTATTTAACGAATATTTTGACATGACAACGTGAATTATTAACGATACATGTGATATGATTGATATAAAATTGACATAGAATATGTTGAAAAAATATTTTTGATTTTACTATAGTCTTTATAAATGAAGTTATCACATTTTAAAGTGTCACATACACGAAGACAATTCTACATGTAGTAAAATTTTCATACATATTTCACGTACACATACATTATAAAATTGTCTAAATGACGGACATATCGACATTCTGCTTCAATTTTTAATATTCTTCCGTTTTATACATGCTATGTATATTTCGGGGGACCGAAATCTATTATTAAAGAATATATTATGTGCTCCTTAGCAAGATAAACTCTTGTGAGAGTCTGATAAATATGTACTGGTGTGTCACACCTCCGACATTTCTCACTTTCATGTATGTTATCAAGGACATGGACCTGACGAAACCTTCAAAAGGTTTTAGTTAGGGTTGGGAGAAGAGTAATTCCTTACTTGTAATATAGTTACAGTTACAGTATAGTTATAGTTACTTTTTCAGTGATAATTTAATTTCGTTTCTACTTTTCGTTTGTAATTGTAACTTAAATTAATTAATATCTTTTGTTAATAAATTTAATAGTTATTTCAATAGCTACTTTCTAACTGCACTTGAGGAGCACGCTTGACTTAGAGGGAACATGATTCTTTTACCTTACAAGAGAGAGATTGTCATTTATTGAATATCAAATAATATAGCACACATAATTAAGCATGTACAATAGTATACTGGGTGATCCTAAATTCCCTCATTCGGAGTATAGGACATGATACTTTATGCTAAAACAAACAACTTTTTCCTTTAGCAAAATTGCGTCCGATAAGTAGTTTTTGCAGAAGAGCGTGTTAAATTTAACGAATAAGCGCTCTTGTCTATGTAACGCTCAGGGCCAGCGCGCGCGCCTCACTCGCGTGTACCTAGTTCATGATTAGTAATCATAAGTAGTGTCTTTTAAGACGTTCATATGGTTCTCTTGTGATCAGTTTACGACATTTTAAGACTGTGCTTAAGACAATTTTAAATAATAAGAATCAATTATGAACAATACCGAGATTTGACCTGCTTTCATATTCGTATTGCCTAAATAATGAAAAGTTAATAAAATAAATACTGCCTTTATTTTTCACGTAATAATTAAATAAAATATTGTCTGATTGCACAATATTATCTGAAAATAAAGACAAATGTAAATATTGTAATATAGTATGTTTGCGAGCTGTGAGCGTTCTATTATTCCAAATATTGCACAATTATGTGATAATTAAATAGTATCATTAAATTTAAAGAATAATTTACTGATCAAGCGTATACATAGGAGTATACATATTTGTAACAATGATTAAAAGTAAAATATTTGAATTAACGTCTTTTAAGAGTTCTCTTCTTATTTTTTTATAATAGAAAATACAAAGAACTTATTTAAAATTCAAATTGTGTGATATACTCACGTCACGGTCTACATTTATTTATTGTTGCTTATGCACGTTAGCCTTTCAATACGTACTTTCCTTACATGTTTCGATTATTGCGAGGAATATTGCTATAGCCTCAATGATTTATTTTCTTAACCAACTGGACCATTGAGGCTATAGCAATATTCCTCGCAATAATCAAAACATGAAGGAAAGTATGTATTGAAAGGCTAACGTGCATAAGCAATAATAAGTAAATGTAGACCGTGACGTGAGTATATCACACAATTTGAATTTTAAATAAGTTCTTTGTATTTTCTATTATAAAAAAATAAAAAGAGAACTCTTAAAAGACGTTAATTCAAATATTTTACTTTCAATCACTGTTACAAATACTATATGTATACTCCTATGTATACCTTGATCAGTAAATTATTCTTTAAGTTTAATGATATTTAATTATCACGTAATTGTGCAATATTTGAAATAATAGAACGTTCACAGTTCGTAAAACATATTATACTATTTACATTTGTCTTTATTTTCAAATAATATTGTGCAATCAGACAATATTTTATTCATTTATTACGTAAGAAATAAAGGCAGTACTTATTTTATTAACTTTTCATTATTTAAGCAATACAAATACGAAAGCAGGTCAAATCCCGATATTGTTCATAATTGATTCTTACTATTTTAAATTGTCTTAAGCACAATCTTAAAATGTCGTAAACTGATCACAAGAGAACCGTATAAGCGTCTTAAAAGACACTACTTATGATTACTAATCATGGACTAGGTACACGCGCGTGAGGCGCGCGCGCCGGCCCTGAGCGCTACATAGACAAGAGCGCTTATTCGTTAAATTCAACATGCTCTCCTGCAAAACCTTGTCAGACGCAATTTTGCTAAAGGAAAAAGTTGTTTGTTTCAGCATAAAGTATCATGTACTGTACTCCGAATGCGGGAATTTCGGATCATCCTATAAATTGGTAAGATTTGAAAGTAATTGAAAAGGAACGATTCATTGCTTTTTGAGTAACTACAACTGTAATGAGTAATTTTTCAAAATCAATAATTTGTAATTGTAATTAGTTATTTTCAGTAAAAAAACTATAACGATAACTAAATACTTTTACAAAGTAATTGTTCCAACTATGGTTTTAGTTGACGCTCATTGCTTAAAAATTTATCAACAAAAGTATGAATATCTATCTTGGGATATATGAAACCATACTAATCGTAGATATGTATGTACAGTACAATGTATACCAATATAGTACACGTGTGAGCGGAAGAAGGCCTCCCTCACCACTTTGAAGAAACCTAATCCAAAATTCTACTCCATATCATTATAACTTTGGCTTTTACATAAATAAAAGGCAAATATGCAGATTACTAGTGCCACCCTCGATGTCTGTGATCTTTACTTATGTTATTAAGGACACGACTTTCAGCAACCTTTAAGAGGTTTTACGGCAGTCATCACTTACTATTATAAAATATTATTAATAAAATAAAAACAGTTTGGAGAAATGACGTACTGTCTACTAAAATTTTATTCGTATAAAAGCCAAAATTATAATAATATAGGGTGAGGATGAGTTACGTTTTTTGTGGTGGCAGTGTGGGGAGACGATCGAAGTCCCTCCCCCGTTTATATGTGTATTACATATGATTAATTTATGATACAATTTCATATATTACAAAACAGGTGTTCATATTGTTATTAACAACTTTTTAATAAACAATAAGCTTCGATTAGAGCGGAGATTTTAGAGATTATTCATCTTTGATAATATATATAAAGGTCAGAAATATCGGAGATGGATCACTAATCTGTTTATCTCTATCTGTACATCTCTATCCTTGTATTAACTGAAAATATAATGAAATTGAAAAGAATATCATATGAAAAAATATTATGACATTTTCTTTGTATGTATTATAATATCGTTCGGTTTCAGTGATTAATGTATAAAATATAATTAATTGTATATAACGAATTAAATTTCGAATTAATATTCACTAATTCATACCCATTATTTACACAACATATCGTTCGTGAAATGTTTGCTTAACAAGAATGTCGAGGAAGATTTTTTTTTCGACTTTCCAATTTTCAACATAACATATCCTTGAGAAGCTGAGCTTCAGATTAAATTTCTATTAAAATAAAGTCGACTTAAAATTCATTGAAAAAAATAATTCTGTTATCCGTTTGGTAGTCCGGAGTTTAGATCGCGAAAAGTCTAACCTTTTTGTATCTCCGAAACTATCTATCCTTTTGCTAAGGAGAAAATGTTAAATTAAAAAAAATAACGCTATATAAATAGTATAAGCGAATTATCGTATACATTCTGCAGTCAATATGGAGCCAATGAAACAGCTAGCGAACAAAATTGGAAGACTTTCGTACGAAAGTAAAGTTATAATATTCTTCCTATGACATAATAATTATAACGAGAAAGAAACTTTCAGTTTGCATAACCGAATAGCGACCAGACAAGAATTCGTTGACGAGGAAAGATATCTGTGTTTCACCGCGACTGAAAAGAAAAGTGTTCTAACACTCAATTAATTATTATTTATAATTTATCAAATAAAATTATTAATTATTAAATTACTACAACCGTATCGAAACTCCCCGCTGAAATAACTGAAGAAAATTGACCGCTTAGAAATCTCCTACGTGAATCCCTCCGTTCGCTTGACCGCTATGACCGCTTTCTCCTTTCGATCCCGCAATCCTCCATAGACAACGGAAAATTTAAACCTAACCCTACACTCCAACGGAATCGTTTTTGCCACGTATGCGTGCTCCTGAAGAGAGTGCAGTTTCATGCGTTAAGATTATCATGTCAATGTGTGCGCCTGCGAGTTCGGAAACATAGCTAGTATCTGCGAGTTTGGATACTACTCGAGTTCTACTGACAGCACGAGTAATGAGCACACAAGCCGCGTGATCCCGTAGTCTTCTTGAAAGTTAGTTCGCTCTCAATACGGTCCCGCTCACTCTTCTAATTTGAGTCGATCGATGTTGCGCCCTACGTACTCTCGAGCACGCGATTTACACCGGACGCGCTATACACACCCTGTATATGCGAATTGCGAGTAGTAGAGGATGATTCTCAATGCCAGCTCTCGCTCTTTGTCGGTGTACACCAGAGACGTGTTCAACGGGTGCCCGAAGACGTACTCCACTTCGTCACCATGTATCACGCCCATCCATTCGCCCCACACGTTGGTGCTCGTCCTCTGCAACACAATGTACATGTTTCCACCGGTTAGTTTCTTCGACCATCGCGGCGCCGGACGAATAATAACGCGATATAACTAAGTCGTCATCTTCATTCGTCACTCTCGTTGGATCTTGTCGAGGTCGAGTAAAATGTATCTCGCTGTGCACTAAGGACGTTTGCACACTTTTCCTGACCGAAATTGGTAAAATTCAAAGTGAATGTCTGTAAAATCTAAACATTCTAAAAGTTTCGACAAATAGTCATAAAACATAAGAAAAAATTTGAGTCAATTTATTCCACGATAAGCATGTTTCTTCTTACGTTTTGTATTCAGAGGTGTGCGCAACTGTGCACTAAAGTTGCGAAACGACTCATTTCTTTGAAATTTTTTTATCTCTTTAACTATTAAAACGGGGCTTATTTGTATGATTTGTACCGGAGAAGGAGGGGCAACGGTGGAGGCCGGCATACATGGACAGCAGGTCTTAAAGGATAGCAACCTTTGACTTTGAGAGACCTCCAGTTTGTACCACTAGGCACAAGTAACAATGCCTCTCTCTGTAGTCGCCGTGCGCTCGGGTTAGCAATAAAGATGTCGCTTCCGAACGACATCTCTTAACGTTATCTAGGGAGAGGAGAATGTCGTGAGCGTGGAGCATCAGGTAGCTCAGTGGTTTAGAGCAGTCGCCCGGCAAACGAAAAGACTCGGTTTCGATTCCCGGTCTAGTGACTACTGCGCTCTCGATATTTTTCTCTCTTCGGAACAAAAATAAGATGCGGGTCCCGAACGCACGGCGTCCCGTCGCCACCTAGTACGCCCTCCTTCTTTCATGGTCCTTACGCACCACTGTTTTAAATACTGTTTTAACACAAACTAGTGCTTCCAAATAATAATAATAATAAATTAACCCTGAATATTATGGATGAGAAAATGTTCTATATGAAATAGAAGAAAATAAAGATTTAACCAGTTTCTAACATTTGAAGAACCAGAACTTCCGGATAACAGCTGATAACAAACCAAATTTTAGCTCATATTTTAGATGGAACCATAATCTTCTCAAAACCGTTTAGGAAATTTGCAGCTAGGCGCAACTTTGTGAAATATATTTTTCACAAGCAAAGATCATTATAACCAAGTCACTGGTGGACTGAAATCAATGTTTTGTGCCAAAACTGGTAAGAGTGAATAATGTCGTATTTTATATGTAAGCTTATCTATAAAAAGTTTTTCGAGTCGCTGATTACGAATCTGGAGTCAAAATTTTAAAATTCAAAATGGCGGATTCAATATGGTGATTTCAAATGACTAATTTTTATAAGATATCATGGATATGTATCAAACTCGGTATACGTATGTTTTTTCGATCACAGATGACAAATAGAGTCGAAATTAAAAAATTAAAAATATATAAAATATATAAATATAATATAAAAAAATAAAATGTATAAAAAAATTAATAAAAATAGAAACAAAAAAATTAAAAGTATATAAAAACAAAGAATAAAAGAAATAAAAAGTAAAAAAATAAGAAATAGAAAAATGGAGTGTAAAATCCTACCGTAGCCTGCACGTGGCGCACTCTGGGATTGTGATATTTCACCAGCTAATATGGAGATAAAAGTATATATAATGAAATATTGTTAATCACCAGAAGCAAAAATTTTGGTCTACCATTTTGGATCTGCCATTTTGAATTGCAAGTTTTTTATATTAAATTCAAAATCAGTGACTATAAAAATTCCTTGCATCTCATTTTCACAAAAAACAAATAATTTTTACTATTTTCGGCCGCCATATTGGATTTGCCATTTTGAATTTTAAGTTTTTGATATCGGATTCAGAATCAGCGACTCCAAATACTCCTGTGTATACAAATTTACCTCATAAAAATTAATCTTTATAATTTTGGCCAGAAAAAGAATACAAACGTCCCATAGTGCTGTGGTCTGTCGCGCTCACGCTCGCGAGGGGAAAGAATGCTTTCAATGTTGCTAAAAATTGCATAGTTATTTTGGGCGTCAACTGTATCTCTCCTTGTTGCTCTGACATAAATGCAGGAGTGGCAATACGCGTGTAAGATATTGTTGTTAACATTGTTGCATTTACGGTTTTTTGTTACGTAATACTTATCGTGCTTAACATAGCGTTAATAATTTATAATGCTTGGTCCCTTATGTGCAGCACTTATTACGCGAGTAAGTAAAATTTACTGCAGTTGCGTGTGTAACATTTATTATGTCGCAAGTAAAGTTCACAGTATTACACGTCACATTTATCATAATGCAAGTTAAATTCATTATGTTACAGTTATTTTTTTGTAGTAGCATTTGTTACAAACGTGGTCTTCCCGCCTACAATTCTATCATTTTGCGATTATAGTTACGAGTACACCTAACCTTTTTTTCTTTTCTCAATGGGATTCTCGCGAAGTCCGCGAGCGTATAGCCGAGTTGGAATGTAGGGAGTAGAGAGATGGCGAGAAAAAAGAAAGTATTGGTAAATAATAGAACGAAAGCATGAGTCTATAGAAGCTGAAAATTGCCCGGGCATGACATGTCGTCGTCCATCGTTCGCGGCATCGAAGTTATAATTTAACACGCTGCCCTGCGCAATGGTTGTTGCTAACAAAAATGTTAAAGTTCCGCGGTTATAGCTTATCGAGAATAACGAAATGACATTAGCGTTGAAACTCGCGTGGCACTTTGAATCTTTATCATTGCCGCCGCAAGATAGAAAGCGTCAACATCGTTTTCCGGAATGTTTCAATTTTCCGATCTCCCTTCTCTTTTTCTCCGCCCCTTTATCTCTCTCTTTTTCTTTCTCTCTTTCACCCCCTCTCTCTCTCTCGCTCGCTCGCTTGCTCGCTCTCTCTATTATTCTTTCTTTCTCCTTCCTATAATTTTAATTCGATACCACGATCTCGGGTATCTTCCTGTTGAACTAAATGTCTATAAGCAAAAATTCCAGGGCATATGCGAAAGATTGGAAGATAGAAGATTGAATATCATTGTACTTTTATCAAAATAATACAGAAAGACGATTTCGTTATAATTTTCGAAATTTCGATCGAATATCGCCGATTGAATCACATTTCCGGTCAGTAAATTTCATACTTTCGTGTACATACTTGTTTGGGAAACATATCAAACATATTTTGATCTGATGCAGTTAGAGAAGCATTAAATGCATCGATTGCTAGTCGATATTTATCAATTTGCATTGTAATAATCGATTGTGACAAGAGCCGAAGTGACAGTATATGAGACAATCTACGTCACAATTATAACTAAGATTTCATGAAAAACATAAATATATATGTACATTTGTCATACTTTTATCTATATTAGATAAGAATATAAAAGAGGACCAATATTTACACCGTGTACTGTCATCTCAGATCCTGTTATAACTGATTACCATGCAAATCCGTAAATGGTAGTTTGCGATTGTGGCTATTCGGTGCGCTACTAACTTCATTAGAAAATATGTGACCAAACTACAGTGGCGTGCAAAAGTTTCGAGCCATCGTGTCTTTTTAAGATACGTGACAATATATTGATTTGCTCTAAAAATTAATTATATAAAATAATTGACATAACATTCTTACAAATGATAGTACAGTTACAAAATTTTGAATTACATAGTTTCTATTTATTTAGTCATATAATATTTACATGTGTTCAAAAGTATTGAGCCGTATTCTTGTTGTGACTTTATGAGTCCGGTTTGTTTATGTTTCTTATGAAACTTCTTCGTAAATATTTGCTTTAACTAAAGTTCAGTCTATTGTCTACCACAATGCCAAAACATACAAGCTTTCAGTTACGCGAAGCTGTGATTAATCTTTCTCAACAAAGAAAGGTTTCTCGCGAAATTGCTAATTGCTTATTAATGGATAAAAGTACCGTAAATAGGATTATTGCTAAATATAAGTTGACGAATTCTCTAGCTGATAAACCATGAAATGGTAGACCTCGCAAAACTATAAAGCGCGTCGATAAAATGATTAAAAGAAAGTCGATAGCAGATGTTAGAAAAACTGCCATGGATATTTCTTGAGAACTACGAGAAGAAAATCTTGCTGATGTTAATCGAAGTACAATATCTCGATGTCTAAAGGAAGTAGGACGCGTTGGTGTAAAAAAAAAACCATTAATTAGTGCAAAAAATAAGAAAGCTCAATTAGATTTTGCAAGGAAATTTGAACATTGGACTGAAGTTGATTGGCGATAAGTACTTTTCTCTGACGAGTCAAAGTTTCAGTTATTCGGAAGTGACGGTAGAAAGTATATACGACGTCCAACAGGCACAAGATATAACTCAAGATATCAAATTCCTACCGTAAAACATGGTGGAGGTAATATGATGGTTTGGGGATCATTTTCTTATAATGGAGTTGGTCCATTGGTTGAGATCACGGGTACTATGGACACTATAATGTATCGAGATATATTGACACAGCATATGCTGCCATATGCAACTCGAAACATGCCACGTGGGTGGATTTTCCAACAAGATAACGATCCTAAACATTCATCAAAACTAATAAAAGAATTTTTCATCATGAAAAAATGCGAGTTCTTGACTGGCCCTCGCAATCGCCGGACTTGAATCCTATTGAGCATTTGTGGCAAGATCTCAAACTACATACAGGAATTAAGAAACACTCCAATAAAGCTGAATTGTGGCAAGATTTGCAAACTCAATGGCAAAATTTACCTCAAGATCGCATTTCTAATTTACTAGCATCAATGCCTCGCCGTTGTGCAGTGATTGCTTCTAAAGGCATGGCAACAAAGTATTAAGTTTAAAAAACGTTGACAACATTTTCTGTTATTATTTTTCAATAATATATTTTCCTTATGCATAAGAAAACCTTTTGGCGCAATACTTTTGCACTGTTTGTAATAAGACATTGTATAAAAATAAAGTATTTAGAATTATTAAGAGTTTGTAAAGTTTATATAATTGTAGGATAAATAAATACATTTTGTTTATATATATGTGTAAGG